TTTTTTAAAAAATTTAACTCTCTCTCTCTCTCTCTCTCTCTCTCTATATATATATATATAATCTCAAAAAATAAAAAATTTATTTGTAATGTGTATTTGAATGTTTTTTTTATCAATTTGGAAAATATTGGAATGTGTTTTAGCCAAAAATACTTAATTTTACTTTTTTTTTGGATTATTTCTAAAATACCTCTGGATACACATCGATTTTTTAAATTCTATTTTTTTCACTACTTTTCAAGTTCATTTGGATGTGTTTTGTTTAATTATGCTTTTCATATTTTTTAAAATTTTTTTGTATTTTTAAAATTTGTTTAACACTTTTTGGCCCGTCCCAATTAGACCGTGTTAACCGACTGGTTTCTGAATCCTGTTCGAGCAATCGAAAACTGGTTTTGAAACATTTTCTACTTTTCCTTTTTTAGAGCATTCTTGAAATCCTACAGACCATCTTTGTTTGGCTTTCCTTTTCTTCTTTTTTTCCTTCTTTTTATTTGGTTCGTTTGGCAATGGAAACCTGATAGTGTTATAATTTTATCTTTCTATCAGGATACAAGAGAGAAAATGCGTAGTCTGAAACATATGTTGGGGCAATGCCTAGCTGAGGGTTCGTTTGGTTGAAATTGATTATAAGATGCGACCAAAACTAAAGGCTTAACGTACGTTTCGCCAAGATTGGGGTTTTTGGCTTGTAACGCGTGCTATGATGACCTATTATAAAGACGAGAGAGAGAGAGAGAACTTGGACAAAGATTGGAGGATACATAGGGCGGAAAGGCGCAAGCTACACAAGTACATATCCTTTGGTTTAGGCATAATGCTTTCTTTCCTTCGTAATGCTGATGTCTTTACAAATTCGTGTTTAAAGCCCATCTCTCGTAATGCTGATGTCTTTATAAATTCGTGTTTAAAGCCCCTCTCTCTGTCTCTGTCTTTGAGTGCTCTCTCACATAATGTAGGCGCGGATTGTGGTGAGTAACTTCACAATTCAAACCATTGAAATTCATGTAGAAGTAAAACCAAACCACTTTATCAAAGCCTAGGGTCTCTCTCTTTTTGAGCATTATATCTCTCTCTCTCTCTCTCTTGAAAGCCTATGGGACCTCTCTCTCTCAAACATTGAAAGCCTATGGAACCTCTCTCTCACACTTGCAGGCGTGCTCGCAAAAACCGTTGAAAGTCTGTGGGACCTCTCTCTTTCTCGACCCATTTGAAGGCCCAAGGACCCCTCTCTCTCCAACATATCCAATCTTGTCTCACTTGATCATGGAGAGAATATCAAGGAGGTATTGGCGGGCATGTCAGTCGTTGTTGTGAGATAAGATTGGGTCTTAAAAGTTGAAGGATCCTCGTTTTCTTCTCCGAAAACTAGCTGGAAGAAAATGATTGCTTTCGTTATTATTCCCTCTTATATTTGGGAATATCATCGATGCCCCCCCCGGCATCATCCCTAACCCACCCTTCCCCCAACCCCCTCTTCTTTCAATACTTTTTAAATTGTCACATTAATCATAATATTTTTTTTTAATCCAACCCAATTAAAAAATTAACTTATATAATAAAATATTTCCTCTAAACTCATATTTTGAATTTCTATTTAAAAAAAAATTCAAGCCGGTTAAACACAATGTGTGGCTTCAATAAGGACCAAGCCGGTTCAGCACATGAAGCCGGTTTGGATCGGCTTCTTCTATAAAGATAGGAAGTCGGTTTGGCACAATACTATGTGCTGGACGGGCTGCAATGGAGACTAGAAATTGGTGAGGCACATGGGGTGTTGGGTTGGCTTCATCGTATAAATGAAGAGAAATAAGGGTTTAGAGGGAGACATTTTCATAAAATATATTTTTTTTACTTATGGGGTGGATGCAAAAAAATGTGTCTGGGTTAGTAATGGTTTTTTTTTTGGGTTGGGGGTGGTGGGTAGAGGGGGGGGAGGGGGGAGGGCGGAGAGGGGGGGGTTAGGCCTAGAAAGTTCAGACCAAGGGGTCTATAATTTTCCCTTCATTTAGGCAAATCCATCGAGTGTATAATCCATAGGATAGGCCTAATATTTGCCAAAACTTTGAATTTCAAATATGCTAAATTGAATATTTCACGGAGGTATTGTTCCAAGCAATTTCCTTTTCAGTTAAATTCAACCTGAAACATGTAACCTCTTAAACCAATCCTGTGCCCTTCAATGTTGTCAATGATTGTATGCTTGTTGGAGATATTTCTTTGATATATGTTTTAAACCAATCCTGTGCCCTTCAATGTTGTCAATGATTGTATGCTTGTTGGAGATATTTCTTTGATATATGTTTCATTTTTTTGTTTAATGGGAAATTTATCAAAATGCATGAGAGGGATCAAATGTTTAATAATTTGCCGATTTTTATTTAACTTTCAACAAGCCCATCAAAAATAAATATGGTCGCGAGTTGGAATAGTTGAAAATGGAAAGATATTAAATAGTTGATAAGTTAGATGTATGTTGAAAATTTTTCCCTTATTTGGTTTTTAACTTTTTCTAATTTCATTTAGTAAGCCGGGTACTTTTAATATATTTAATGCATCTTTTTTGTCTGTATTTATTGGAAAAATATATATTATAATGCTAATTCGTCTAGGATAATTTGAAGATAAAAATTTATAAACCTCGAAATAGAAAGAATTAGGACAAATTGCTATATAATTCTAATATCACAATGTATTCGAATGTACCTAAATGACAGTAAGATGGAGTCTTCCTAATCGTTCTTAAATCTTAACACGCTTGCTTCCCTTCACAATATGACAAAGTTATGGTGTGACAGGCTCATATATCGCAACTTAGGCTTGCGTTAAGTTAGAATTGTGTGGATGGCAATGTAGCACACTAATTGTTTTGCGGTCTAATTTACAACTTTCAAAATGTCCAATTTCAATAGCTAGAGGTAAAGAGTTGGGAAAATTGCTGATACCCCGGACATGTACTTTCTAGACCACGTCTCTCCAACCAATTTTTTTATTGCAACATTTATCTCAAGGACATTTTTCTAGCAAAATACCCTCGGTCAAAAAAGTCATGGTTTTTAGGATCAAAATACCCACTCTCTCTCCTAACACCCATGACTTCAACTTTTTCCATAACACACAAAAAGGCAGTATGGTGTTGTAAACGCACGGTTTGGAAATATCCTAAAGCGGTCCAGCACTGTCAAAGAACGGTTTGGCAATAGGCCCATGCGGTTCGGCAACAGGCCCATGTGATTTAACAATAGGCCCAAAGTGCAGTTTGGCAATGTCTCCATTTGGTCTGGCAACTATTGTGTGATAATGTGCACTCGGTCCAACATTCTTTCTAGATTTGAGGGGTATTTGATAGAAAAGTTTATTTTTGGAATAAAAATTACTATAAAAAGATTGGTTGGGTTGGGGGGGGGGGGGGG